TGAAATTGTGAAAAAATGCCTTCAAAATTTTATTTAGAGGTATTTTTTAGCAATGTTGAGTAATTGAGAAATGCTCAATTATCTGTGAACTATATGTTAAGTGTATTATTATCTGTGAACTATATGTTAAGTGTATTATTCATATTCATCTAGTAAACTGTACAATTTTGGTGGCAACAAGCTCAAATTTTTTATCTACTTCAGCGACAACACACAAACCTTAATTCCTCTACACACAATAATTCTACAAATTTATACCTATCATTGGTTCTTTATTTATTTTTACTTCATTCAATATTGATATATAATCAATTCTTTTCAATACATTTGAATAAAGTTAAGTTTAAAGTTAAGTTTAAAGTCAATGGCAACCATGCAGCTCTCATGCTCAAAGACATCTTTTTCTTCCCCAAAACGCTGATTTAAAGAATGATAATCCCATCACCTCTTAGGATGATAAATTTACTAGTTCCATACATACCCATTGGAAGTGATGAGCTTGATACACCAGCCAGTGATTTGGTATATTCAAACAGATATTTCTTTCTTTTTTTTTTTTGTTGCTCTAGCTACCTCTGCTATGCAGTGTACCAGCTTGGACTGCCTGTGGACCAAAGAACCAAAGGTCGCTATCTTACATTGATACAAAAACATGTAAAATTGTAAAAGAATATCCTCTACAAATTTATTTCATATCATATATTATCAATATACAACGGTTGTGTTGCCTTTCAATGTCATTGAGAGGCACTGTAGTTTTAGCGAAGAATGTAAAACAATGACCATTGCAGACAATTTATTKAGGAGGTTTTATTGACAATATGCCAATTTTTTACAACAGCATTTCCCCCCACATTTTAAAAAGAAGACTTACTTATATTAATTTTAATCTGTAAGTATCCTGTTTGGGCTGCCTGTGCATAATCTAACTTTCAAAACCCAAATGGTCTTAAACTGCCAACCGATGGGCTCAGTTGGATAAGCATCAGACTTTCGTGCTGGAGGTTGTGGTTCAAGTCCCAGCCAGACCAACCGTAGGGTCTTAAAATAACTGAGGAGAATGGGCAATCACACTAAATGTAAAGTGCCTTTGATTATAATCTACATAGGAAGGGCGCTATATAACTCATAAATCATTATCACTACCAGAATTCAAAATCTGGAATCCATAATGGGTCCGAAAAAACTGGAATAGAATAAATAATAAATGCAATACTAAGACAATGAATGACTAAAAACTAAGATGCTACAAGCATTATCTGTTATCTGATCCAAGTTAATAGAGTGGAATGCTTTGGAAACCCCATACAACAAAACTTACTCTTATTTTTGAGTTTGAGGTTGAACCGTACCATCACATAATTACGGTGGCCCACAAGCGCACACCGAATTCCAAACACTCACGCCGAATTCCAAACACTCACACCGTATTCCAAACACTCACACCGAATTCCAAACACTCACACCGAATTCCAAACACTCACACCGAATTCCAAACACTCACACCGAATTCCAAACACTCGCACCGAATTCCAAACACTAGCACCGAATTTCAAACACTCACACCGAATTCCAAATCGTGAAAGCC